CCCCCCCCCCCCATGCTCCAAATAGGTTCCCCTCATAATATACCAGTGCCCTTGGGAGGAGATCTGAAATGATATTTGAATGCTTTCTGTTATGTGGGGATTTTAGGCTCTGAGTAAACTTGCTGTGATAACTAAAAGGACGTGGAGGAAGGTTTTTTAAAACTTGTTTTAAGAACTGATTTGGAAGCTCATGATTTCATTTGGAAGCTCAAGCTTAGTTTCCAAGTAAGGTGACAGTTTAGTGATAATCGTATTTTGGAGTTGAGTGCTGAAGATTTTTGACCAAATCTCTTATGGGTTATTCAACATAGCACTCTCAAGATAGAGCCACATCATTACATGTACACTTTTGATGTCTCCTTCAGAATTTAAAGGGGGAAGGAGATAACGTCTACCGGTGGAGAGAAACTGTTGTAACTATTGGGCACAATATAGAGAGGGATTCATTGGGAAGGAAGAAGAGGAAGACTGTTATCAGGAATCAGACTCTACCTGTGTCCAGTCCCTTAATGAGTAACAAATCAGTGTTGTTTGTAGTAATAAAAAAGGATCCCATAGTTTTAGTCATCAGACAATTGATCAAGTGTGGAGAGTGGAAGAAGGTGAGAGTACATATGAATGATTTGGTTTTGGGAACCTGGATATAAATACTGGTTTTTCTCATTGTTCCTGCAGTACCTTCATCTTTTATTTTACATGCTGTGTTGAATCTAATACTTAAACTTTTTTGTAGCATCACTTAATTCTATCCTGGGGAATTGGAATCAATTTATGTGGTTTATATAAAGGTACTGGAGGAAGAGCTGAGATGTGTTCAGAAAAAGAACAATTTTCGGGTTGCAGATAGGAAATACTGGTTTGGAGCTAGGACTGTTCACCTTGAAGATTAAATCTAGCATCCCATCATTTATGTTAGTAGTCTAAAGAATAGTTATTTATTTTTGTTTGTTTTTTTAAAAATTATATCTTTATTGATTTCAGAGAGAGGAAGGGGTAGAAAGGGGGAGAGAGAGAGAGAGAAACATCAATGATGAGAGTCATTGATTGGCTTCCTCCTGCATGCCCCCAATGGGATTGAGCCCACATCCTGGGCATGTGACTGGAATTGAACCATGATCTCCTGGATCTTAAGTCGATGCTCAACCACTGATCCATGGCCAGCCAGGCAGAAATAGTTTTTTTTTTAATACTCACCTAAGGATATTTTTCCATTGCTTTTCAGAGAGGGTGGATTGGGGGGAGAGAGAGAAACATCGATATGAGAGAGACACATCGATTGGTTGCCTCCCACACATACCCGGACCAAGGCGAGGGATTGAGCCTGCAACTGAGGTACATGCCCTTGACTGGAATCGAACCCGAGACCCTTCAGTCCAAGGGCCTATGCTCTAACCACTGGGTCAAACCAGTTAGGGCTAAGGAATAGTTTTTATATCATTCGTGGCCATATTAAGGAAATCTGAGACCTTTTAGCATTCCTGAACTAAGTTTTACTGTCCCATTTATATGAACCACAATAGTACAGAAAAGTGGGGAATAATGGGGGTGGAGTCAGTACTTGCATATTTTCTGTCAGCATACACTACATTTGGGTTTGTGGGGTAGTTGCTGGTTTTGTCTTTTCACTTCCCTGTTATGATTGGCTTCATATGACGGGGTAAAGTATTGATGGTCACTTTTGATTTACCCTGTGAATGCATCAACATCAGGAATACATCTGTTCTGCATTACTACTTAGAGGAGAGCTCTTCTTTTAAAATACAAGAGCTCATCTCTAACTTATTCTGGTAGTCAGTGAGGGGTTTTGAGTTAATTCCTTAATATATGTCTTGTTAGGGAAAAAAATGGGTAAAAGTAAGTCAACTTTAGTAATGAGTTAAAAAAAAACGGTTAGCTCTGACCAATGTGACTCAGTAGGAGCTTCATCCTGTGCATCAAAGAAGGGTTGTAGATTCAGTCCTGGTCAGGGTGAGTACCAGAGGTGGCTGATTGATGTCCCCCTGCCCCCCCTTCTCCCTTCCTTTCTCTATAAATCAATGAAATCATGTCCTCAGGTAAGGATTAAAAACAACTCGTGTCTAACATTATACTTAAAAAAAGAAAACAGGTTAATTATCAATTCTTGACTGTAGGCCAGTAATAATTTTTATTGCTATTTCAGTTAATGGAGTTAACTTTATTTAGTGCAGTTTTTCCCCCTTCCTATATGTAAGCAGAGTTGGATAATGCAGTTTTTAAAATCCCTCCTACTGGTAGCTTTTAGTCTTCATATTTAAAGCAGATGCTCTTTTATGTATACTTTAGACTTTGATATGGTATTGTGCATACTTCAGTGTATTCTGTTAGCTTACAACTATGGAATATAATGAAATTATGAATCACTGCAGTTTGAGGTGATGGGGTAAATTCTTACTACTGTGGACATTCTTAGGCACCCCTTTCACCTTTACATGAAAAGGTCTGAATTTGAATTCTAGTAGGGGAAGAACACTTAACGGCAAGTATTAAACTGAGCAAATTTTGGATTCAGTAAGCAGCTCATATATATATTATGATTAACTGATTAACAAAATATATATACACACACACACTGTTAATCCTCACCTCGGGATTATTTTTTCTATTGCTTTTTCAGAGAGAGTAGAAAGGAGGGAGGGAAGGGGGGGAGAGAG